TCGCGTGCTCGCCCCCCGATGGCTCTCCCCCCCCGCTCCAAAGTGAGGCCCGCGGCTTGCAGCCACCGGGCCTTGCCGGCCTCCCCCCCGTGGCTCCACGGCGCCGGCAACGCTGGCTGCAGAGAGTTCCCTGCGCATGTGCAAGGGACACTCTGTTACTTTTGGGGGGAGGTTTTAAGATTTTAGTGCACACCTGGGGACCGTCCCAAGTGTGCACAAAAATCTCCCTCCCCCCCAAGTGCCCCCGATGCGTGGATTTAGGTATCCGCATACAGGGGGCATCTTCGGAATTAGATATATAGATATGGAGCAGAGGTCCATCAGTGGCTATTAGCCACAAGGTATAGATAGGGGCTCTGGGGCAAGTGATGCTCTGTATTCTTGGTGCTAGGGGGGGTCAACAGTGGGAGGGATTCTAATGGAGCCACAGGCTTCCATTTCAGGTGCACACAAGAACCCTGTATTTAAAAAAAAGATTTGAATAAGGAACTGATTTGACTGCCCACTACATCCCGGAATAAGAATTGGACCACCACATGTCATACACCTTCATGTTCAGTGAACTCTCCCCTTCTAGGAGACATATGCTGTGTCCTGGTCCAAAGCATGGTTCTTGTGCCAGCTGCTCCAAAGTGAGGTGCCCCCAGGGAAGTCACACAGGCAGACAGTGGGGCCTGGGTGCACCCCAAAACAATCTTTGGACCACCCCAACTGAAACATCCCCATGCTCTGAAGACTGTCCCCTGCAAGATGACATACAGTGATGCCTGGTCCAAACACTGGTTCTGGCGCCACGAGCTTCTATTCAGAGTGCTTCCCAAAGGCTTGTATTTCAAAGAAGATTTGAATAAGGAAGTGCCCTCTGTACCCAAAATGAGATTTAGACCTACATACTTCATATATCCACATGTTCAGCAGACTTTCCCCTTCAAGGGAACATATGCCGTGTACTGGTTCAAAGCGCGGCTCTTGTGCCAGCTTCTCCAAAGTGCTTGTGGCACCAGAACCAGTGTTGGGACCAGGCTTCACTGTATATCATCTTGCAGGGGACAGTCTCCAGAGTGTGTGGATGTTTCAGTTGGGGTGGTCCAAAGATTGTTTTGGGGTGCAGCTTGGTCCCACTGTCTGCCTGTGTGATTGTCCTAGGGGCACCACACTTTGGAGTAGCTGGCACAAGAACCGTACTTTTGGACCAGTACATGGCATATGTTCCTTCGAAGGGGAAAGTCTGCTGAACATGCTACCAAGAAGTGTATCCCCCATCCAGTATACGTGTTCCTCATTTTTGTTACTCAGCACTTATCCTTGTTAAATTACATCTTGTTCACATCTGTCCGCTTTTCCACTGTGTTCAGATCTAGTTGAATTCTCTATCTTCTCTATCTAGTTGAATTCTCTATCTGTGTTTGCTGCTCCTCCCACTTTTGTGTCATCTGCAAATTTGATGAGTAGCCCCTCCACACCTTCATCCAAATCATTTATGAAAACATTGAAAAGTACTGGGTCCAGAACCACGCCCTGTGGCACCCCACTAGACACCTCATTCCATTCAGATGAAATGCCATTGACAACTACTCTCTGAGTGCAGTTCTCTAACCAGCTCCCTATCCACCTAAATGCCCTAGAGTCCAGTCCACAGTCCTCTTGTTTACCCATCAGAACATCATGGGGAGCCCTGTCAGAAGCTTCACTGAAATCCAGGTAAACAACATCAACAGCATTCCCTCGATCCAGTAAGCTTGTCACTCAAAGAAGAAAATTAGCTTGGTCGGGCAGGACCTATTGGGGACAAATCCATGCTGACTTCTCCAGATCACCAGTACTCACCAGTACTGTATTGTTTATATCATTCCTCAGTGCATTCCTTAGGCTGACAAATAATGAATGTGTAGTTCCAGTGAGATACAGCAATGGGAGAAATGCATCCAGTTATGGATACACAGAGGAACCATGATTGCTATTTTCCAGTTTCATTATGGGAGCAACAGAATGAGGTGGCTCTTCCCTGCCCCTCCCGCCCTGCCATTGAGGCTCCTATTATTGCTTTCTCTTTGGTCAAAATCTAACTGGTTAAGGACAGAGTTCTTTGGCGAAATCATGAGCCTGTATTTTAGGCATCTGATAACAATGCAAGTTAGTAAAAAAGGTAGCCTAAATGGGTATCAAAGCTCACTGAAAAGATTAACAGACAATTCTGCGTGTTCACTTTGATACATGCATAGAATTATGTGTAAGCTGTTTAAATGGGGTTCACTTTCAGGTAAATACGGATAGGATTGACTCATAACATAAACTTTAGGTCCTATCTCATTAGTCACAAAGCTCCTTTCCCCTGTTCTGCCCAATTGTTGAGTTAATGTCCCTAGCAAAGGAGACTGTTCTCTTTTATTACTCTTTTTCATTTTCAAAAAACAAGAGTCTTGTGGCACCTTAACCAGTTTATTCTAGAATAAGATAGAGGTGGGGTGTCAAACATGTGGCCCGGGGGCCAGATTAGGCCCCCGGAGGGCTTCTATCAGGCCCACAGTGGAACTGGCTGTCTTCTGCTTCTTCCAGTTCTGCTGCTGCTGCATCATTGTAGGTTTGCAGCTTACAGATACACACCTGAGCAGCATACTTAAGATTGCAACAGCACAGACATTTTGATGCAGTAATTCAGAGCAAGAGGTGTCAGTTATCAGATACTGTCAAATAAACAAAATATTGCAAGAGTGCTAATGTTTTAAGCATGTTTTTATTTTAAGTAAAAAAAAACACATTTGTGTTTGTGTCCTTTATAAAGTTTATATCTTCGTTACCTGGCATTACATTTTATCACACACATGGCCCAGCCTAGCAAGGTCTCATTTATGTCAGATCCTGCCCTCATAACAAATGAGTTTGACACCCCTGAGCTAGAGTGTATCATCAGGACTCTGTATATGAAGAAAAAAGAGCTGTAAACAGTATAGTCAAAGGGCCATTAAATGCAGGAAATACAAGATGAGATAATCGTAACATTCCAGTGGTGTCCAGAAAAGTACAGAAACCATTCAGAATAGCAATTAAAGGTGATAATGCAGTTGTCCTAGTTTAGTTATAAACTCTTTGGCACCTGTATTGGCTTAGATCTTGGATTCCCAACTCACTAAAATCTCCCATACTCCACCCTTCCAAATGCTAATTTGTGTTCCATTATGTCATTTCAGTCTGCATTAGACTTGTGTATTCTGCTTTGCTGTTGGGAGTTTTCTCTTCCTACAGAGCGGCTGTGAGACACTCCTGTTGGCTTTTCTTTTACACTGGCCTCTCTTTGTAACATCTCTCCCCCCCAAAAAAATATAAAATCAGACCCAGTGGTTGTGCTCTTCATGCATCTGAAAAACTGAGCTCTGACTTACGAAAGCTTATGCTGAAATACGTTTTGTTAGTCTTTAAGGGGACCCTAGGAATAAGCTTGTTTTCTCCTTCATATCACTGTGTATAGAGAATAAATTTATAGGACATATCTAAGATAGGGAGCATTTAGCATCATTCTCACAGTAACCTTAATAGTAATTGGACTAGGGTGTTAAATAGTTAAATTCTTTGCATGAATTAAACACCCTGAATTAGTTTACAAAATGGATAGGGCTTATTAACAGTATACTTCAGGTTCTATTTTATGTATTTGAAAAGTAAGCTAATTTACAGGGCCATCCTAAGTGGGTCTATTCAGAATCCTACTGAAGTCCACTCATTGGGGTTTACTTCCAGGAAAGTGTTCTTAGGATTGCAGTGGCCCTCATCACTGAATTATTCAGTGGGGTTTAGCAGATTACCTGCATAACTAATGGCTTTTGAGAAAAACATCCTGAATTATTCATGGTTAAATACTGGGCAGGTTAAACATACACCTTGAGAAAGTTACCAGTTCTGCAGCAGATGTAGCAATTATCTGCCACAATTCACTGCCACAGGAAGTGGTGGCGGCTACAAGCATGGATGGCTTCAAAAGGGAATTAGATAAGCATATGGAGCAGAGGTCCATCAGTGGCTATTAGCCACAAGGTATAGATAGGGACTCTGGGGCAAGTGATCCTCTGTCTTCTTGGTGCTTGGGGGGGGGGGTCAACAGTGGGAGGGATTCTAATGTCCTGGCCCCACTGGTGGACCTCCTGATGGCACTGGTATTTCTGGCCACTGTGTGACACGGAGTGTTGGACTGGATGGGCCTTTGGCCTGATCCAACATTGGGGGCTCTTATGTTCTTATGTTC